GCACTTTCAACTTGGGAACCACAAAAGCTAGGCGGCTGAAATTTTGGTATAGTGTTCCCCACCAACGGTTGACGCGGCAAATTTAAATTCAGCCTTCCTGTACTTGCGGGTAACAAGTACGACCCCGCGAAAATTTTTTACGGGTAAATTATCATCTCAGAAACCACGAAGTCTAGGAAGCTGAAATTCTAGTATAATGACCCCCCTACCCATGCTCAGTCTTGCCTGTTCAAACTCTGCGTTCCCGCGCTCTTGAGTATCACCTACGGCTTCGTGAAAATTTTGGCGGGTAAACTATTAACTGGGGAATCACGGAAAGATATTCACCCTTCAATGTTTCGAATTCAGCTTTCATGCGCAGGTGCGTGAAATTTCTTTTTTCCAGTGTTTGAACTATTTTTGCATAGGCTAAAGTAGAAAGTCAGTGAAAATCATTAACAGGCAATCGTTCGATGGGCTGAATTGCACAAAACGCATGATCACACCGGCTAGTCTGGTGCGCGTTAGCAATCGTTCGATGGGCTGAATTGCACAAAACGCATGATCGCACCGGCTAGTCTGGTGTGCGTTGCTATTTATTATGTCGATGGGCTGAATTGCACAAAACGCATGATTGCACCGGCTAGTCTGGTGCGCGTTGCTATTTATTCTCTTTCCTTCTTTTAGTTTTAGTAAAAAATATAATAATTAAGCCTAGCCAGTGCAATACGAAAATGAGATTACATTTCGGGACCATTATATATGGACCTAAATAAAAAAAAAAAAGGTGTTTCCATTATAAAAAAGTGTTTCCATTATATGTGGACCTGAATATTTTTTTTCTGCAGTCCCCCAATATTAGCACTAATGATGATTGCAGGCTTGGATTATTCCTGCAAGCATTCGGTATTCGTTCTTGTATTCTCAACGCCCAGATGCCTGTGAACAGTCGTTGTCATGTGGTGGACGAATTCAACGAAGGGCGCTATTCATATGTAATTGCCTCCGACATAAATGATGTTTCGGGGCAAAGTCAGGGAATGATCAAAGATGAAGGAGATGAGCAAAAAGTTTGCATACTTTTATAATTTGCTTGTTCGATTTTTTTTTCTTAAAAATTTTTTTGAACATTTTTTTGTAAATCTCCGGGCATTTTTCTGTTTAGCTGAATTAGGAGGCGCAAGTGTTTTTAGTTTGCTTATTAGGTTCCTGGCTATAAACTGTACACTGTTAGCAAATGTAATGGTTATTATTTTTTTTTGACATTCGCTGAAACATAGAATGGAGGTATGTGGTACCAGAAGCGAGCCGCATGATTTTTGTTGTACAGATAAGTTTCAGAAGGATTTTAAGTAAAATTTGACTTTCAAACATGCTATGTAGGTTAAAATTTCTGTCCACTGACTATAGTTACAGGTGGCAAAGATGTAAGAATAATAGCAATAATAATAATGACAACAATAATAACAATAATAATAAAAAAATAATAACAATAATAATAACAATAATAATAACGATAATAACAACAATAATAATAACAACAATAATAACAATAATGACAATAATAATAACAATGATAATAATAACAGTAATAATGTCGATATGGAGCAATTGAAAGGTCATAAAAATGCAGTGTTTTCGATTCGTATTACTTCCTCTTCAGGCATTCGAATGCAAGAAAAAATTGAGGAAAAAACGGAAATATATGGATAAAGAATCAGGAGTTGCTCGTGGCATTGACTTTCATCATGTTGCAAATGTTATAAATTTCGATTTTCCCACATCTGTAACCTCATATATACATCGCGTTGGCAGGTATCTATCATTTTGAGAACAGTATATAAGTTTATTCGGAATACGAATAAGTTTTTTCCTGAATTTTTCAAATATTTTGGTTGAGTAACTGTAGAAATTTGCATTATTGCACAAATAATCTGATATGAATCATTTAATATGTAATAATGATATTTTTGTTAAAATTTCCTCAGTATTCACTTTCTATTAAAGACGAAGGTAATCGGAACTAGCGTAATTAACAAGATTTACACATGGAAGCACCCGATATCTTCCTCTTTCAGCTGTTGCTTTGTGAACAAGTTGATGAGGGATTTGTCTTCTTCGTATATGTAAGTACCAATTTACTATCGAAACGAATTAACGAATAATAGAGGGATTGGTTGTCTCACTGGCCTAATCGGACCATCATCTTTTAACACGGAAGCAAAGCCACTTGCTACTGC